AGTTCTTCGTCATCATCAGGTAATATTAAAGTCTAAGAAAAAAGTATTTATGCTAATGAAATATGATCGTTAAATAAGGATTGCGTAGTTAGGATGGCGACATAACTGAGAAGTTAATTCGTTTTTGCTTTTTTATCATTTTTACTTTCTCGCGCATAAGAAAGAACTTCTTAAGAAGAGAAAATTATGTAATGCTGCGCGAAAAAACTGTGAATATTCGGCAGAAAAACTCTTATTACAGGACCTTGGTAACGTAAAAGTGGATAAATTCAGTAGCTAAATTTAGGGGTGGAAATCCTCTTAACATGTGGTGTAGCCAGAATCCCTGTTTTGGGGATCTTTGATACAAAAAAGTCGATTGACGACAAAATGTCTGTCCGTGAACAACGCTAGCGGCTAAACAGTTCAACAGATTTTCTCCAAAATCGATATTCCCTAATCGATCTGGCTAAGGTCGCGGCCCCTTGAATTTGAAACCGATATTTTAATTTTGGAGTGATACATTACATGAAGCCCTTGGGATATTTTAACATTTCCAAAAAATGCGCCATGAATTTTGATTAAATTTTGTTGTTGGATAGTCTGAAGTTTGATACTGAACTAAAATATCAAAGAAACACAATTTTTCTCTCAATAAAATCTGTTCGCTGAAGATAGACTTTGAAATAATATAATGTACAATTTTTCAAAATTTAGTATTTTTTGTGTAATTGCGTGAAATGTAGGCATTTTTTAAAACTTTTGTTTAATTAATTTTTTTCTCAAAAATGGCGCTCTTGTTTTTCAGGAAATTCTGTTGGTGGGTAATCTGAAGAACTTCTAAGAAAATGATGCAGGTCTCATGTTGGTTAAAAAATCGCCCATGAAGGTCGACAAATGAAAAAATTGAAAATTTTTTCAGCGTCTTTCTATAACTAGAATTATGAAGATAGATTTATTTTCTTAATGAAATGTGTTCACCAGAACAGATTTTTAAATAGGTCATGTTAAATTTTTCGAAAATATTAGTATTTGTGGAGTAATTGAGGGTCGAAGTTTGTCGGCGGCTCTGAAAATCCTGCGTTTCTTGATCGTAATTTTAGAGGAGTTTTGAGGCAGATAGAAGTTATGTAAGTTAGGATGTGTATATTTTATCAGATCTAATCTTTTTGGTTCGTTTCTTGCATTGGAGTTTTTGTTATACGTTTACAAATCAATGTTTTAGAAATTATTTAAAACCTATTAGAAATAAATATGATTCAAAGATTACTAGCCTTCAGTCGCCCGCTCCCAATTTACTCAGTTGGATGCTACGTAAGTTTAAATATGAAATAATATACAAATTCTATTTTATCATTATTTAATATATATGTTATTTAATTTTAAATTGAGTCCTTTCATTGTATTTAATGTGAAAATGAATAGATGAGCGGTCATTCTTGGCTGTTGTTATTCATTTTTGTAACGTCCCACAGATATTAGAAGGCGATAACGACGGCTGCCTTTCAGTCGTGGAAATAAAAATGAATACTTCTATATACTTGTAAAATATTACAATACCGCAGTGTTTAATAATTACTATTGTATATTTTTCGATATATTTATTTCCAACGCTATCAGTTGCATTCTGTTTATATTTAGCACCAAATGTTCTACGATTTTAAATGAGTTTTACACAAATTAATTCTGAGAGAAATTGTGGTATTAATAGTACTACATAACTATTAATAATGGCGAAAAAGTACGTGCTGTTTTAGCATCACTAATTTGTTTAACATTGATAACTACCTAAAATAAAAAAGGGATCATATAAAAACTAATTCTTGAGATATTTAAGAAATTCTTCCGCGTTTTCAGTACTCTGTTGTTATTCGTATTGTGAATTTATAGCGTTCAATGCACTGATGTAGGAAAACGTTTTTTGATTCGCAAGCCATGAAGGAAAACACGCGCAGTTGTACATCGCTGCTCTCAAGGGCCGCTTCATTCGCAATGGCCGCAGACAAAGCACAAAACCGAGTTGCTGCCCTCGCCTCTCCCTTAGCCAAAGCGGACAATAGACGACAGACGATGCGTCCTTGTTCGTGATGTTGCGCTACGCGGCACACAGTGTGTTGAAACAACACAAAGGGTACTCGCCTTTGGATGAGCACAAGCAATTTTTTTCTGCCATTTCGAGAAATGACTCAATTAACCAATTAATCAACAAAAAATAAATTAACTGTTTCACAAGCAGTGTGAAGGAAAGTAATAAATACATCTCTTTTTTCCAATAATATGACTCATCGACGTAAATTTTCATCGAGAGATATTTAGGATTTTCCTTTCTAGTAATTAAGTTTACTCACGGACTGAAGTCTTTCCTTCAACGAGTATCCTACTAGCACTTTGAATGTCCTTCTTTTTCGTAGTGTCGTAGGTTGCAGGTTTGTTTTCTGTGGATTTTTCGTAACCGTAATGCCATGATTCCCTGAATTGTAAATGATAGCAATTACAATTGCAATGCTTTCGCTTAATGAAAGTAGACAAATTGGTATGACATAAAAAAGTGTGAACTACTTTGACTCCAAATTCTTCATTTAGAATGTGAATACGACACGTTACTACAAGTTGCATCTGAAACCATGTAAATAAACGTAGAAAGGAAATAAACAAAAATAGAGAAAAGTTAATGAAAGTAAGCATTAATAATTTTATGTCATGATTTTATTTATCCGTTTGAAAAAAATCCGCTCAGGAGGACTTTTAGTGAGTTAATTGAACATACAATAATGAATGATAATAGTACATATTAATTTGTAGTACCCCACCACCAACGCCAATCTCCAGACCGGGAGAGGTGTCTCAGGACATTATTTACTATCATTGCAGTGCCTCTGACCCAACGTACGACTTTCGACGCTAGCTTGATAGCTACATCTAGTCCATCTGCAGTCATGAGAATAATTCTGGCGGCCGGCTGCTCTGATCCGTTGTTTACCGTGGTTTCTCTGACCAATACCAAGCGATTGTAGGAGTAGTACCCTAACAAACGGGCCCTGGACCGAATACGATCTTTCCTTCCTCTTCCTTGTTCTAAACAGACTTGTTGATCGGGGCCGGATCTTATCATCCATCGCAAGAAGATAATCGCCACCTCCCGAGCAAAACACATGCACTAATCATATGGAAAGAATGACCTTAGCCGTTGACGCACTCTGAATCACTAATTAATCAATCAAAAAAAAACAATCTCTGGCATGTTGTAGGGCTTGGGCGTTGTGTTCACAACTGGTAGTACCAAATGATAGACGCAGAACTATTCGTATAGGTTATATTTTAATTTTTCTTTTCTCCTCTAAATAATCGGGGTGAAAAGAATCTTCTAAACAATACGATGTGAAATATTCGGTCATACAATTTGTGTTTATGGATAGTTCGAGTTGTAACTGCGCACACACATCAGGATTAATGTCTAGTGAGATTGTTTCAAATATTGTTAAGGTTGATACAAGTAACAAGGAGATACACACAAGATACACACAGGTCGGGAGTCTGTGTGGAGGAATGAAAGTATGAGTGTCACAAAACGCTAATTAAAAGCTTTTGATTTGAAACTTGGTAAACATGAAAGGAGAGAGATCTAGTTGCGTTGGCCTTTGAATTGTTAAGAATTTTTAAAGTTTGGGGGATACTTTACATGAAGCTCCTATGACATTTCCAAAATTTTCTAAAAATGGGTGTAAAAATGTTATGTATTTTTTCTTGAGTTGAGGGATGTACATTTATACATTTGACAAAATTACGAATTTTATTATAAGCTCTAAAATTTTAAAAATTGCCAAATTTCACTAATATTTTGAACCTGTTAAACACCTTAAGCCGGAGACTTATCTCGATGAAAACAAACCCCTCAATTAAAGATATTTAAATGATGACATGCACTTTAAAAAAAATATGGGTATTTGTTGAGTACTAACACTGAAGAGACAAAGGTTTCAATTCGACGTGCAGTAGCGGGTTGGTGGTTTAAGTAAGTAAGTAAGCTGTTGTACCCATGTTTGCGGTTGTTTTCAAACCCAATCAAAGCCGTGTATTTTTAACGACGAAAAAATCCTTCGTACGTCTTCCTTCGGAGAGGAAGCAAGCCTGCTGTCTCATGTTGTAGATTTACATCATGCAAAAGCTCCTCAAGCCTAAAAGAAGTCTGTGATCTGAATTCAAATCGCCTGTTTCGCCACCCGAGCGGTACCTTTTTTCTTCGCTAGATGCTGAAAGGAGCGTAGCGAATTTGCGTGATCAAACGAAAGAGCGGGCCTAATGGCATGGGTCTCGCCACGTAAAATGATGAGCAAACATTCAAAACGTGACACGTCCACTTCACTGTTTCTCAATAAAACTGAAAAATATAGCACAAATTTGACCCTTTTCAACTCAATGAATAGATTACTACTTAACATCGTGATGAATAGATAACTACTTAACATAACTTGTAAGACATTTCACTTTTTTTTCTGGAAATAAAACTCTAGGAAAAAACAGCAGAAGAACTTTTTTTTTTTCAAATGGACATGTCACCTTTTGCATGTTTGCTCATTAAATAAAGCACTAACTAAACCAACTAACATTCCCGCTAGTATTTATATTTATATTTAGCCCTTGTATGTTCCGTGGAAGGCAAATGGCCTCTGCAAAGTTAGACCTCGGGGTTCCTTGTCGGTCACCCAACCAGGAACCTGATATACATCGAATCCGCTCAACTTTCGTGACTACACGTAGTTACCGAAATCGGCTAGCGACGCCGGTTTCGCGGTCGTGGTCTCGCAGTAGAACCAACCCAACATTCTCCAGGATGACCAACCGAAACCACAATCACCCCGGTCAAGACGACCGATACAAGGATTGAACCCAAGTCTCCCGAATGCGAAATCGGCGCGCTACGCCGTGAGCCACCCGCTGGCACACAATTTGTTAAATGGAACGCGCCTTTGGATATCGCGGAAGGTGCGCTTCGCCCGCGCGGGGGCGTCGTTTAGTCCCACTGCGCGCCGCGTGGAGCGCGACGGAGAGGCGCCTCCCCCGCTCCATTCTGTATGCCACCGACGGCGGCGGCGGCGGCGGCGGCGCGACGTGCAGCGTCGCGGCGCTTTCCCCTTTTCCGGCGCGCGACGCCACCGACGCCACCGCCTCCGCCGCCGCCGCCGCCGCCGCCGACGCTTGTGCCACCGCGTGCCTGACGACGGCGCCGAGATGCGCAACCCGCATCCTCGTGCAATCGATGTTCATAATACGTTCTGAATAGCGTAATTGTTACGCTTAATATAACCATGTTATCGTTAATTAAAGTTACTGTATAATAGTGTAATACGTACTGGTCGGAAATTATCATAACTGTTAGTTTCAAGTTTCGAAGGTACGTAATTGCCTAACTCGGTCCTTGCATTAAATTACTTCACTTTAGAAAGCTGTGGAACGGGACGTTTAGAGTGAATATAAAGCGTAAATAGTTCGTTCTAGAAATATTTCCGAAACATTTGAATTAGAAAGTATGACAGCAACAATATAATGCAGGTGCTAAGACATCATGTTCTAAGGCTGTTTAAATGGTGTGTCTATTCATCTTGGATTAATTGATGTTTCTTATCTAGCTATGACCATATTAACTGCTGTGACCATTAGTCCCGTTAGTGTAGTAAATGTTTTATCCAGGGAGGTTGGATGCTGCAATCCGGCGCCTGCCTTCTCGTCGACTTCGGCTACTGTCACAGAGCAGCTGAAATATCGTGCGCTCGCTACCGGACAACTACAAGTGAAATCGTCCGCCTTATTTCATCCGAAAACCTCCCGCATGTTTCACCCGAAATCGGTCGAATATTCGCCTAATTTCGCAGTTAACTGTTTGAAACATCTTCCAAAAGCACGCTCACAACCACCTGCGTGAATTGCATATAGTCTCGGTACTACAAGTGGCCTTGACTCTCCAGATGATTTCAGGCGAACGGAACCGACAAAATCAAACGAAACAGGTCTTTCTCCGACAGCCGATGTTTGCGTATACGGTTGGAAGAGGCCGTTAGGGCTCAATAGGCAAATTTCTATGCACTAGCATGTGTTTAAACAAGTCGGTCATATCGGTCGCAAAAATCCGACGTTGGCCGATCTAAATTCCAACCAAAACTGGCCCCACTGTGACCGCCCCCTTTCAGGGGACTTGTCCCTTCAAGGCCCTTGCCCCTTGCTCTGACCTAATTCATCGGAATATTATGATATTAATTAATCATAATTAAGGATTGTTGTTATTCACGTGAAGAAACTCGGCCGAAAGTGTAAATATTATCAGAAGAAAAATTATGAAAATGAAAAGATACATCCAAGACACCTACCTGCCGCTCAGATAACATAGCATGTTAAGTAAACATATATAAACATACAAACTTGTTTTATGTATGTTACGCACTGATTTGGGTCATTTGCGCTATTCGTGTGTTTTTCAAAATCCTTATTCACTACCCATTCGTTCCCTCTCCTACCGATTCAGAAAAACTGTCTGGTTCTGCACCGGATCTTTAAAGCAGTTAACACTAACATGCTGACGGAACACACAGAAATAATTTAATATTTGGCGCACATGATTCAGTAGCCAGTTAACATGTACATGCGATCTAAATTCTTGCGTTTCTTTTAATTACGTTTTCACATTTCGTGATATTTTTGGGGTAATATATTAATAATTCATTAACGTCTGATAAGCATAATATCCGTATTGTACCTTCTGATAACATAACATTAGAATGCACGCTTCGCCAGAGCTTAGCAGGGTGCTTTGCAGGCTCCTCGGAGACTTAGTGCGTCGTACTGAAACCTCGCATTGCTTTCTACTTCGTATGTAGTGTTCGTTGCGTCTTGCATCATCCTTAGACTGTGGTGTCCATATATTACTGAGGAGTACAGGCCATGCATTATGAACTGAAAATCGAGAATTTGAGATTTATTGCCATCTCCTCCAAACTTAATCTTCATTAACGATCTTAGTATCTTTCCAGAGCTCAAAATTTCAAAAAAATTGCGCTGATTTAACCTCGTTATTTAAACAAAAAAAGGAAAACGCCACAAATATCATGTTACAAAAAATTCCTCTACTATATGCCATTTAAAAATCAATACTGTAATAAGCACATTAATTTAATTTACACATATATACTAAATACACTCAATAAATATAGATTAAATTTAGAGTATAATTAAATATACTGTTTAATGCCATACACGAAATTGAAAATCGCAAATAATAGTGAACATTTTGGACGTGTTTAGGAATTTTAAAATTAGAAAGCTGAAATGTTTTCCAACATCGTCAAAAAAATGTAATTTCTGACCATTCGAAATTGCAACGCTTAAATGAAAAAAAATAATTAAAAATAATGCTTTTTAAAAGTTCTTGTTTTAGTCAATTTTATTCTATTCAGAGCTTCTTAAAATACCTCTTAAAAGTCGTGAATGTTGAATTCTACCAGACAATGACCTTCGAGAATACGAACACCTCGCAATCCTCAACTTTCTCCTGCTGATCACTTCGAGACGGGCGGATCCCGGGATACCACAAGACTTCTCTGGCGGAAATAATGCTCTATCACTGGACGGAGTTTCCAAGGCATTGGCTATTGACCTCCGGCTCATGGCCAATGAACATTAATTATTTACAACAACGAAAATAGTGTTTTATGATAATTATAAGAGCTTTTCTGCAAGTAATGACTTTTCTGGGATGGCAGTATTAATCGTTTCAAAAGGTATAATTATTAATTAAGGTATAATTAAAGGTATAAAATATAAATTACTGAAAATATTTATATTTAATTGTCACCTTCCCGTCACCTTGTTGGACGCAATTACGTTCGGAGAATATATTCCGCAGATGTAAAGAAATCCAAATTATGACCACGGTCCTGAGTAACAATGCATTTCAATAATTAAATTTGTTCAAAGAATTGGTTGCAACCAATCGGGGCAACAAATTCTTTGAACAAATTTAATTTAAAATATTGAATGATATAACTTTTATAAACATGTGCATGTATAAACAACCCTCATGGTTTACTAAATACTTCATACTATCTTTCACAATGTTCCCAGTTAGGTTTAGGGCATCACTAAAGGCAAGAAATACCGGGAGACGAAACCGACTTCTCCATGCTGATTCGGAATAGCCATCTCCAAAGAGAAAAGAAAGCTGTAGCTTCTTCCCATCGGATATAGTTGAGTACTTTTCCACCTGTCCTTCGAGAAGAGTTCGGAATTTCATTTCGTTTCCCGGTCAACAAAAGTCAAGCGGGAGTCAGCATTCTCCACTCGGTTGCACAGGACGATTTCTAATTTTCCTCTGGATTGTCAACAACAAACGCGACTTACATTTCATAACAGTCCGAAGGAAACCCTACGTACGATTTTGACATTGCTGTTTTCACACAATCATGTAACAGTTTAATGTTTCATAATTCCTTTTCTTGTGTAATTATTTTCAAAAAAGAGAACAAAAATACAAAAATTAATTTTATTTCACCTTTATATGATGCACCGATTTCAATGTTTGCGATAAGAATTTTAGTGCAGCCCAATATTTTTCTTTTATCTCCAATATTTTACAGGGTGTTTTCTTATTCCGCGCCTCATATATAAACGCTTCCATCCAATAGTAGAACAGAAACGAAATGTGTACACTGTTGCCAACATGCAAATAATTATTACTCTTCGAAACTTCAATTAATTGATTGTGACATAATTCAATTATATTGGTAAATTGCATCCCGACTTTGCGACTCCGGAAAGATAAAACACAGTTCGTGAAATAGTATTCACGGAGTATGAACTGACAATTGTACAGTTGTAATTGACATTATACAATTACAACTGTAATATTTAAATTAAGAAATAAAGCATAAGTATCTACTAAAAACAACCGTTAGAAAAACATTAGTTATATATTCGACTAGTACGTCCAGAATTTTGATCATACCAAATAGAAAATAATTTGAGTGGTATTTCAAACTACATGAATGTAAGATATAATCGTAAAGGCAGTAAAGAATAGTTTTTGCAAAAATATTAGTTAGAATATAATTTTAATGCCTTATCTCTAGATACTTCTACCCTCATTTTCGTCGGAATTAAACTAATTATGCCACCATAATTGACATATTAATTGTTAAATTATATATAGAGTGTTTTGTATACAGGGACAATAGTGTTAATTTACAGTATTGTGGTGTTGGGATGCACAATGTTGTTGTAGTTCAATGACAGAATACCACGAAAACATATTTATTTTGTGGGAAGGGACGTCTTAATTGAAACATTCTCATTTCTCAAAAAGCATGTTGTGGCATACGACATTCTGGAGACAAGCCCTTCCTGCTTTTGATTAAATTTCTTGTAGAATTTTGTTGGATATTTATTTTTTCTTAGCAACAACTCAAAAGATCCATATAGAAAAAGTGATGCAGAAGAACGACTTCCTTACTTACATTGTCATATTGCGGAAGGTTCGAGTCTCTTGTTCCTTAAGATACACTCACAGATAACAGGATGAGGCCTAGCCTCAATTCTTCACATACCTGAAAAAATAAAAAATAAAAAAATCAGTGGTGTTTATTCTTATATA